AGCATGAAAAGTCAGCTGAGTACAAAACATAGAGAGGAAAACAAGAAGAAAAGGGACAAGAAGAGAGGGACACAACCTAGAACAGATAATGGATGTCTATTCTATTAACATTTCTACATCTGGAGAATGGGGCTGTTGGATGTCTTCTCAAATCAGAGGGGCCCCTGCCTGTCTTTGCCCAGGGCCCCACATTTCCTAAATCCTCCCCTGCTCTGTGTTATTTTCCATGCTGATGAGTTTCACTGTGTTCTGCTGTTAACAGCGTCAAACTGTCTGCCTGCCTCCATCCAGGCGCAGCAACAAAGCTGCCATCCGGATCCGTTTGCAATACTGGATCCAGAGAAATACCTGCTGCTGTATGCCAGAGGGGGGGACTGGTATGAAGCCCTTGATGACTGTCAGATCCTGCGGACGCTAGACATCCCATGGTCACTAGATGACTCTCGGTGTTTAGTTGCACACATAGTTGCCAAACCGCGGGTTGCTGGTGATTTAGAACAGAAGAAAAGACAACAGCAGACTTTGAAATACCTGATTGGACATGACCTGGAGCAGGAGGCCTCAGACCGACTGGGGGAACTCACCTTCACCCGCAGGAAGCTGGCGTCTCCTCGAAGGGTGGAGCTGAAGAATCGCCATGATGTGCTGTACGCCACAGAGCCCTGGGTTACACAGGCCCCCGTTCCCAGTGAGCTGGAGGAATGGTTGAACAGGAAGCTTCCTGTCACCCTCCACTACATGAGCAAGATCAGCTTCAGCATACTGGTTGATCTGAAGGCCACTCCGGACGTCCTCCTTCAGGTGTTTGGAAGGGTTATGGAGGAACAAGGGGTAGAATACGACTTTTCTGAAGAGCTGGTGTTGAAGGTTTCAGGGAGGGAGGAGTTCCTGTCGGGGGAAAACAGTCTCATTGATTTCCTTTGGGTTCGTCAGTGTTTGAAAGCCAGTCAGGACCTCCACCTCTCTGTGGTCCCCGTCTCCAACCTCCCTCCAGATTCCGTCCGATTTGTTGACTGGCCGCTGGTTGATGGTTTTAGCGGTCAGTTTAGCGCCCATGAGGATCTTAGTCTCCATGGGAAGGATCTGGATGACATCTTCATGATATCTCTGTTGGACTGCAACAGAAAGCTCCGAGTCAAACTGCTTGGCTTTGATATCCCACAGCTGCCGAGCAAGCCCCCCCAGTCTGTCTTTGTGGAGGCGTCCATCCTTTACGGGGGCAAAGTGCTCTGTTCAGTTTGCTCCCCCTCCAAGCCTTTTGCAGATGAAGTGCTTTGGAATGAGTGGCTGGATTTTGATATTCTGCTGCGGGACCTGCCTCGTGGAGTCAAGCTGAGCTTCACTATTAATGCATGCGCCGGCGACACCTCTCCAACCACCAAGGACCCGAAGCCAGCTTCACTCAAGGACCCCAAGGTCCCAACCAGCAGAGACAGCAAGCCAACAGACCTCCAGAGAGGGAGGGGGAAGGTCCTCTACTTTGTCAATCTCCTCCTCATAGATCACAGGTCAGTCTTTGCTGCTTTCAGAAGTTGTTAAAACACAAACCTATTCTGTTTTTCTCCTTTGGGCAAAAATAATTCTGTTTAACTCTTTTACTTTATAAGATACAGATTTGCTGTTTCATTTAGTAACGTCTCATGAACAGATGTAAATATGAAGACATTCTGCTTAAAGACAACCAGACATGCCGTGAACCAGACGACTGTTTATTCTAGAGATGCAGCAGCATAACTTCCACTTTCCCATTTTATCTTGACTCTGATTCATTTCCACGTGTGAAAATAAATTCACTAATAACAGAAAAGTACCCAGAGAACCAACAGAAGCAGCCAAAAAGTCTCAGCCGTTCATTCAAGCTAAACTTTAACAGTCAGGCTGTTTAGTTTTCCTTTGTTTAAATATTGTTTCTGTTTTAGTGAGAACTAAGGAGAGGCCACAAAGAGAATAAAGTTATAACACAATAACAGCTGCTTTTTTTATCCAACAACTTAAATTAAAATAGTTTTGATTTTAAGGGTAGATATGGTGCAAAAATCTGAAAAAGATCTCATTTTACCTAACACCCCCCCCCCACCACCACCACCACCACATTTAGACCAAGAACTTCCTCTTTGCCGTTTCTTCCTCTAAACCAAATGAATAATTAATGGTAGATTCCTTTGTGCAGATTAAATATAAAGCAGGAGATCAGGATAAAAGGATCAGCTGCTTGATGTTTGATTCATGTTTGATTTGTAATTTTTAAAAGAATTAATCGGCCCAGACTGTTAACAGCTGCTCATCAGATTAACATGAAAGCTCACTAATCTGAAGCTCCTGCTTTGCTTATAGTTCATCTAATTTAACTGTGAGAAGCTGAACTGCTTCCTCGCTCAGTTCTGATCAAAACACCTGAACTGTTTTATCTCTTTTCATAGGTCTATTTTCCATTTTATTTTTGATTGTATTTGAGTTCTTAGACATTTCCTGTTCGCCATCTTGTGTCAGTCTCCTTCTCCTCGCTCCCTTCTTGCTTCCTCTGTTCACACCTGCTCCCAGTCTGCTAACTAGCCTGGTCTTTCTTTCTCTCTCCTATGTTGCTGATGAAGGTTCTCAGTCATCCAGGTTATAGTCATTCCGTAAAAATTCAAAAAATATCCACTGGACTTGGTTTTCAAGATTTGAAGACGTTTCGCCACCTCTCCAGGAAGCTTTCTCAGACATTAGAATTGAGAAAGCTTCCTGGAGAGGCGGAGAAACGTCTTCAAATCTTGGAAACCAAGTCCAGTGGATAGTTTTTGAATTTTTGAATTTTTACGGATTGTCATTATTTCTTTGCCCGCTTGTTGTGAGGATTCCTGGTTTTTAGTATTTTAGATTTTGGTGAATTTATGTATTGGTTTTTTTTGCTTCTGTTTCCCTTTTTTGTTATTAAATCTTCAAGAAACTTCAGCTTTTGTGTTTGCATGTCTGCCAAACCTCCACCCCCACTTGACACTGTGAATGGGAAGTGTTGGTGCAGTGCTTAGAGCATTGCCTGCTTAGAGCAGTGCTTGGTTCAATCCCCACAGCCTGAGAAAGACCCTTAACCCCACAATGCTCCTCGGGCGCCGCATAATAGCAGCCCACTGCTCCCCAAGGGGAGGGGTCAAAATGCAGAGAACACATTTCCATATTGAGGACAATAATGGGATTTAAATTTTACAATATGAGGTTTGTGTGAAATAATAGAGGATGAAAGGATGAAATAAGCCACCCTGTGGATATTCTGGGACGCAGAGGAAATGAAAACATGGTCACAGCCTGAAGGTTTGCAGCGTTTCTGGAATGAAGGAATGTTCAGTTGAGTGAAATAAGTTAAATAGTCTTGTTAAATTAGTACTCAGTAGAATCCATCACTAATCGTTTTTAGAGCTTCAGGCTCTAACCTCCTGCTTTCTTTTTTAAACGCTGTGCAAACATTTAATGATCTGTATTTAAAAGTTTAATTAGTCTCCACTGTAATAACTCAGCCTATCACTTAATGAGACAGAGACAGTCGGATTGGTTTGTAGAAACAGATAAATTCTGTTTTAGGCGGTGGAACGAAAAACTCAACAATTGTATTTAAGGAAAAGTATTGATGCTTATAGTCAAATCTTACTTAGCTACTTGTACATGTAAACATGCATTGGTCAATAATCTAATCAAGATAAAGTATTTAAGTACTGTTGAACTGTACTTAAGCTTTCAAAAACACAAAAGACATTTTCTAATAATGTTAAAGAACCTGTAACTTTTAGAAACCACCTGATGTATTGATGCTGCTATAGGTTCTACTCCACCTGGGAAGAACTTCAACAAAAAGAAACCAAGGATAGCTATTTTTACCTGTTATTAAAAAAACAAACAAAAAGAAAACAGGAGAGTCTTGATTCTCCTCCACCTTCCCTGAGGAATAGAGGTTTAAGGTGGAATCTATGACCACGAAGAAACTCTGATTTCAGAATTCAACTTTATTGTCATTCAGTCACAGAGCAATGAAATTCCCTCTCTGCCTTTAACCCCTCCCATTGGGGAGCAGTGAGCTGCCACTGTGCGGCGCCCGGGGAGCAGGGTGGGGTTAAAGGTCTTGCTCAGAATTGTAAAGGTCAAAAGGTCAACCAGCCCCCCTACCTTGTTTAAATTACCGTAGACAAAATTAGTGTTAAATGTTTGTGCAGCAAAATTTTTCGTTTGTGCCGCTTTCACTTTAAAGATATAAAGAGATGTTTGTAGAGGTCATCAAAGGTCAACCAGCCCCGACCAATTTTTGCTGCACAAACGTTTGAAATTAATTTTGTCTGATTTGAAGGGTGTGTGTGTGTGTGGGGGGGGGGGGCAACTTCACTCAGGTCCTCACTAGTTGCATTTCCATTTACCATCAAATTGCATAAATGGTATTTATGAAAAGAAATGTGCTAGATGGAAACTCACCCTTCAGGATACCAACTTTCTGCTCCTGGTTGAGGTGGTTTTTAGGTTATGTTGATTTTTATTTTTCATAAAACTTCAATGGGAAACTTTTTGGCGTCACATGAGTCACCGTGCAGCTGGACATTTGCTGCTGTTTAAAAAGACGAATAAGACTGTGAGTAGTTTAGGGATGGTAGCGCCCCCTAGAGCTGAGGCTGAAATATGGACGTTTGCATCTGCAGTAGTTTTCATCGCATGAACATTTTTATGCAATTGTCCTTTTATTTATTACTTAATGGAAAACCACAATTGCAAAAAATAGCATAATTAAAACTAGCAGAACATCAACATTGATCTGCAAGAACTTGTAATGTCATATTTTAATTTAGCAAGTTAATTTTCCTAATGACACATTGAGCAGTTTGATATTGAATGGAAACACCGTCTGTGTTTCCCTCCAGCATCTGTTTGTGTGCCGAACTATTTATGCTGAAGGATAATTAATTTTTCCCTAAAGATTATTTTAAGGTTCTAGTGTGGCTTTATTTTTTTATTTTTTAAAGTAGACAGACAGGAAAAGGGATTAGAGAGAGAAGGAGAAGAACGGCCAACAGGCCGTGATTTGAACCCTCTGCTTCCAAAGCAAACTGCTGCATCTGATGCCTCTGTTGCTCATAGAAAGCATCATTCATTTAATGCCACTGTTCATATGTGTCCTAACGAGTCTCTGATTTTTCCACCAGGTCTGTCCTCAGCCAGGGTCCCTACACTCTGCACATGTGGTCCTACCCGGATCTGGAAGATGGAGCCATCACCTACCAAGCAGACAAACTGTCCTCTGCTACTAACCCCCATATAGATGAGTCCATGGCCATCAGCTTCCTCCTGGATCGCTACAGCTTCCCTGTTGTTCTCCCAAACACCTTTAGACACAGCAATAGCTCTGCCAGTCCCACCTCAGGCCTTTTCCCTGATAAATCCACCGCCAGCACCAGCTCTCTTTCCCCTCAGGGGAAATTTCCTTTAGAGAAGGACAGCGTGACTCGGAGGTCCCCATCGCCAGTCTTTAACACCAAGGGCGACCACCTCAGGAGGTTTAGAGAGGAGAGTGTCCAGTATGCCTCGAACCTCCCCCACTTCCTACGCGATATTAATTGGTTAGATCGTAAAATGGTGGAGGACGTGCACTGGCTCCTGGGACTGTGGGATCCTGGGGAGCTGGATGTGCACGTGGCGCTGGAGCTGCTGAGTACGGATTTCCCTGATGAGATTGTCAGGAAACTTGCAGTGCGGAGGCTGGAGGCTCTGCCCAATGATGATGTGCTCAAGTATTTGCTGCAGCTGGTGCAGGTATGTCTGAGACCTTCATGTCAACCATAAAAACCTCCATAGCAACAGCAAACACAGCAGCAGTGCGCATTATTAGTACTTCTACATACTTTTCCATTTGGTTTCAGACACAGAATGAAATGTCTTTTATTGGGAGTTAATATCAGAAACAAACCAAGCAAACATCTGATGGTGACGCTGATTATTTACTGAACTAATTTCCCTGAATGAAGTATTTCTGAACTGATTGATCTGCTGACCTGCTGGAAGAGGAAACTCCATCTCCAGCCTTCTACCGTCTCCACCAGCTTCTGGATCCATTTCTCTTCCTGTCTTCTCTGTTCCCACAGCATGATGCTGCCAACACCATATGTGAGCATGTTTAGGGATAATGGCTGTAATGCAGCAGCAGGGCGTCACAGTCAGCTTGCTGCAGGCATAACGGAGATATTTTTGATTTATGCCCAGTTATGAAGCGTGGTCTGCGCTGTTATTCCACGCCGCAACGCAAGAAGGACACTCACCAACTAGCTAGGATTAATGGTGACCGTGTGTCGGTTTGACGAACTTGTTCGCCGTCTAAAACCCCTCATCCAACGCCGGACGACACACAGTTCACCGTGAGCGTTCCCCAAAGACCGGCCGCGGCGCTGCGTGTTTTGGCTTCGGGTTCAAACCAACAGCCCGTCGCTCAGAGCTACAAACTAGCGTCCTGCACGGCGTCTGGGATAGAGTCCGAGGTGAGCCAGGCGCTGTGGGCGGAGCTACAGCCAGAGCTTCTGCCATTAGGGACCAAACAGGAAATACGCATAGAGTAGAGCAGATGTAGAACTGACCAATCAGAGGCCTCCTTTCTCTCCTCCCTGCGATAACACTGTCCGCGATAACACTGTCCGCGATAACCCCGTCCGCGATAACACTGTCCGCGATAACACTGTCCGCGATAACCCCGTCCGCGATAACACTGTCCGCGATAACACTGTCTGCGATAACACAGTCC